TTACCACACCATCCGCGAATCAGATCGCAAATCCTGTAGCGGACCTGGGCGGGGTGAGCCGACACCAGCCGAGCCTAGTTTTAGTAGTTGCCCGAATGGTCTGTTACCTTGAAAGTTGTGGCTTCGGGTGTTATGATAACGAAATTGAGTGAATTGCCGGAAGCATTGTCGCCATGCATGCCAGATTCTAAAGCACGTTGAACCAAAGCCACAGCTTCTTCTTGCTGGAAAATCTTGTTATGTATATTACACAGAAGAGCTGTTCACAGTGATGAATCATCTGAAATGTCAAAAAAATCAAAGTACTCAGGAACGAGAAATGTCAAGACTTACAGTCATGCCGAATTTAAAATCTCTTTCTAAGACAGTTGTTGCTGCATAGCTGCCCGATCCTTCGGCCGTAAAAGGTTTGCTCTGTGTATAGCCACTCGCAGAGCACTGAAATATGTGTGTGTTTTTTTTAATGAAACCATTCAGCAGTGAGTTCTTATCTGCATTATTAGGTTGTTGACCAACGTTAGGATGAAATAACCAGATACTCTTAGTGCTTGTGATACTCCGTATGGCACGAAAGGAACTCCGCAGAGTGCAATTTAAACTATCAAAAATTTCACGCACAAAAATACACATTTGTAATGGGAAACTGTTAGTAGAACCGGATTTTCGCGAGCAAAACCACTTTCTGTACACGTATGAGCCAGAAGAAACTTGAACCTAGTAGATTCAGTAATTTCGGCTCCTCCAGTCATGACTTGTCAACTATTATATTATTGGCTTTCGTACTCTACCATAAATAATTTTCCCCTTCTTCAAGCTATTTTGTAGGTGTGCCGTCCTCATACACACATTCGTCGCAGTGTAACCGCAGCAGCTTTTAAACCTCTAATTTTTGACACATTTTCGTTGGTGTGCTTGATATATATATTTATAAACAGCACATATTTTCAAGTGTATGAAAAGTTATCAAAAACAAGATGGTAAGGATATTCCTACATTTCACCAACCTGATATAAATGAGGCCCTGTGGAATCCACTCCACCAATCAACAAATATGCACTAACGTAACCCATGTAGGAAAACAGGTGTTGTTTCGCTCGGCGTAACGCCGTTACAACTCGAGCCTTCTTTCCAGTGTTCAACTCCAAAAGACGTAATTGCGCCGAAAGCATCTTCGCCACCTGTAGGAAAAAAAAGTTATTTTTGACAGGAAAATTTGACACTATCGGTATAATGACTATTCTGCGTGATGCAAATACTTCGAAAAGGCAACGGGTTTTAACTGGAAGCAAAAAATGAGAAAAAAATATCTAACAAAAGTGCGCCTGGCGTGTAGTTGCATCCCAGTAATATAGTTAAAAGGTGGGTTTGGTACCGCGCATGACAGTATCGATGGATCGAAGGAACCAAATGAGGTGCTGGATCAATGTAACAAGGAAAGGGGATTTATTACACAAGATAATAATGAGACACAGAGTGAAGCACTGACGAATCACCAACAACGGCGGGAATAGTTCACTTGGTGCAGAGCTGGCGAGTGGAAACGATGACAAATCCCACATTTTAACTATACCTTTTAACAACAACATCTTCAACATTTAATCCCCGAATCTGTTGTCTGTGGACTGAT